ATTGATGAATTCGACACTTTTGGACTTCCGCTTTGGTACTTCACCTGAGCTCCAGATTTACCTGTGTATGACTCGGCCTGTGACCCTGTTTCTGACCATCAAATCTGCACCTCACCCGTGTGCCTGATCCTTCTGTGCATGACCCCAGCTTGTGACCTTGACTACGAGCTCAACTCCACTCTGACCATGCAACGCATGGTTCCTCAAGTTCCTGCATCATCAATTTGTGTGGATGGATTACCCTGGTCAACACAGTCCCGCCAGACCACCACCGCGGCACTGGTGCCTCCCTGAGTCTTCCTCTTACCTGTTCAGCTTGGTCTGCAATCAGGTACGTGACAGAATCCCATAGTCCCACTAAAGGACAGTAGGGTGACAATGCTAAAATTGTCCCTAGCAATTACCAGCAGCATTGTCAGCCTGAAACAGAAAGTGCATTGTATATTGGTAATACTTACAGGATTACCACTATAATAAAAATAATAAAACAAATTATCTGATTTTCAATTTTTCTTACTCATTTACGGACACAGCAGGATCCTAAGGATCTTGACCGATGTTTTATAGCAGCCTCCTGCTGCAGGTGGTGAAATAAACCACTGGTAAAGATCCTTACGATCCTGGTGTGTCTGTCAATGAACGGAAGTGGAATTTACACCCTACACAGTGACACTTGAAACAAAACATAGTGGGTGGTAAATCTGGAGCAGTCTGAATCTTCAGCAACTGTGCATTGGTTACTACCAATCAGCTTCTATCTTCAGCTTGTTCAGTTAAACTCTGAAAATTAAAGATGGAAACTGATTGGTTCCTATGCACAACTATTCAGCTATTCCAGATTCTGTCTGCTCCAGTTAGTAAATTCCCCCCAGGGAGTTTTAGCTTTAGGGTTTGCATACACTAACCCATTTGTACTATCTGAAGCAGTTTGTAGAACCTATACAATTCTGGCCAGTATCTACAGGAAAACAGAGCACTGTGATCAAACAGATGATAGGAAAAAATTATGCAATATCAATGACTGATAAGCCCAGGAGGTGAATGCCCGATAATAAGAAATCATAAAAAAATTTCAAAATCATTCCATGCTTGCATATACTAAACATCTATGTAAATCATTTACAGTAAACTCCACTTTTATTAAAAAATGATCTTCATCGTAACAGTGTCAAAAGTCCTCAGAACACAGTAAGAATTTGTTATAAGTTTCACCTTTTTCTGCTACGGTAATTACTGATGATCTCAGTGCCTCTTGCAGAAGTCTGAATAAAGGTTAGAAAGGGAATTACATCCAAACAATAGAATTAAAGAATTGCTAACACTGGCCATTTTTTATTTGATGTTTTATCTTTACCTTTCAACCTTTAGCCAATTTTGAGATTGTACAGCTGGTCCTTCACTGATCGACTTTTGAATGCCGATGGACTGCTGTGGGAGGAGCAGGTATTCCCAAACCCGAAGGGTCAAATATCTGCAGCAGTGCAGCGACAGCGTTTCAAGACACAGGCCACTAGAAAGGTAAGTATACCGCCACCAGAGAGGTAAGTATACCTGTGTATGACGCTCTCATACACAGGTATACTTGTGTATGTGGTGTGTCGTGGACGTTGTGCAGCTCCTTGTGTTGTTGTTAGACCGGGGTGATGGGCTTCACCTGTGTGCCATCCATCTCATCACATGTGAGTGCCCATCTCTCATTCCCACCCACCTTCACCTGATCCACTGCCATTCCCTGACCCATCCATCCCCACAGAAGTCTGTGCCAGTCAGTTGCGCTCCTTCCCTCCCTTTCTTTCCGTTCATTTTTGTGTATTCAATCTTGATCCTTGCACATCAGCAAAGATAATCTGCTGGTAGGCAGTGCCCACAGTCGTCGACAGTTGAACTACAAATTACAGTAGCCAGTTGACTCATGCAAGTGATAGGGGTATTTTTTTTCAAGAGCTTGCATTCTATGTTCCAGAAACTAGTCAGCGAGAAGGTCAGAACACTTAATGCTGCTGGCACTGGCCTCAGAATATGACAAGAATAACTTCATGTCTTGTGCAATACGTCTTATCATATGTATATCAGGTTCAGCTGTCAAAATGGAGCCTCTTCTGGGTAAAATGACAATTGCAGATAGTCTACAAGGGTCATTACGTGAATACAATGTAACAATTGACATTGTATTTACAATTTCATTCATATATAGATCAAAGAGATGATATTTGATCTGTATATGACATCAGGTAAATCAATCTTGCAAGTAAAACATTTTATATTAATAAAACATATTTCTGTTTAACCCCATATTAACCCTTAGTTTAACTATAATCAGCTCTAATTAACTTCTCCCTCCTTAAAGCTATTTTTCTGTTGATTGTTTTTAATTTCTATTTTTTAAACATGTATATTTAAATCTTTTCATTTAGTTTTTACTTTTGTGAAAATTTGGGTTATTTTTATTGGCAAACCACTTTGCCATTTTTTTTACCAGAAATGTAATTTTAGTGTTATTATAAGCAGGAAAAAATATAGAATAAAATGTATACTACATTCTCTGGAAGAGGTCAGCAACAGTAGCTTACATACTCTACACCTGAAAGAAACCAGACTATTAATATATTCCGTTCTGTATGATTTCTGCTTATGGTTTCTTGGCACAGGTCTGTCATATATCCTCATAGTTTCCACATTGTGTGTAGTGTAGTTCATAGACAAGAACTTGGTTGTTAAGATGAAGGATAAACACATAAGATAGGTATTCGTCAAACATTCACAGCATCTTGTACTTTTTTTATTTTTCTAATAAAAATACATGAGAAGGAAATTGTAAGGTACTTACCAAAAGCTGTTACGAGTACATGCTCGCGCCTTGCAACATGGCCCTAATTTCAGATTATGGGCAAACATGTATTGGAATTAATGCGCACGGATATGTGCACAAAATGTACACAAAACATACCGACATCAGAACTCCTGTGCACGGTTGTTAGCACTATGCACATGTTTTTGCGTGCCCGCTCATTGACATCTGATAGACTATAAAATCAGTGCGAGTTCTGAGCCCACTGCTGACTGGTTTTCAACTTTGGCCTGTGTTCCTGTTGCCCAACCTTGTTACTTTGCTAACCTGTGCTTGACTCCGGTTTATGTTCCTGACCTATTCTTGATCACTGACTTAGCACCTTTACCTTGCATCAGATTTCCTTGTGCATGATCCTGGCTTGTAACCCAGACTTTGCTGCTCTTACCGATTTGGCACTGCATCTTTGCATCTGATCCGCTGTGTTTGACTCTGGCCTCAGACGAAGATCCTGATCAACCTGTGATTCCTGCTGGGCTCTCCTGCTTTGACTCTGCGCTGTTTTCTTGCAAGTCAGCTCCAGCCCATAACGTTACCCTGCTACTTAGCCTGTGGCTTAGTTCCTGTCATCACTGTCCCCAGGCCACCGCACACAAGCTCCGATACATAACCCACGTTTAATTATTGCATCGGCACTCGTGCATCCCTGAGTCCTCACTCCACCTGTCATCACCTCCGGGGGAGTCGGACAAGTGGTGCAAGGGTAGCCCTCTATTCAGCTCAGTCCCCATCCAGGTATGCAATAGAAATATTTTATTAGTATGGTTGTGAAAGAAAAAAACAAACAAACTAATAAATAAAATGTTACTGTGTCAGAAACTTGATTATGCACCCTTTAGACTCATTACATGCAAAGCAAGATAATTCAAGCCGTGATTTGTCATAATTGTGATGATTATGGCTTACAGCTCATGAAAACCCCAAGAACCCCAAATCCACAACCTCAAAAAAGTAGATTATTACATGCAATCAATAAAACACGGATTGTACATAGAACAATATCGGACCTCTGAAAAGTACAAGCATGCATATGTACTCAGTACTTGGTTTGGGCCCCTTTTGCAGCACTTACTGCAATTACTTTTGCACGATATTCTAATTATTCGAGTTTCACCTGTATATTCTGTTTCTGTGCACAAAATTAAATTTTAGTGTATCTTAGCCTAAAAATACTTGTTTGATAAACATTTGTGCAAATACCATGTGACATAAAAAAAATTGCAACTAGCATCTTTTTATTCTACAGGGCCTCAGCTTTCAGAAAATAAATCATTGTTTGTGGGTCTGAAGATATTTTCTAGCCAAAAATGTAGATTTTATCATGTGTGTGCAAATCTAAGAAATTGCTCTGGGCAGCAAGCGGTTAATATATAACATGTTTGGGGGTTTATGGTCTTAGTCAAGGAGTAGAGCTACTCTGTATTTAATATACAAAAAAAGATGTACACGTTTTTAAAAAATATTTAATTTATTGGAAAGTACATGTGACAATTTTGTTCAATCCATAAAAAAAAAAATGAATAATAAAAGAAGGCATCCCATTTCATTTCCATTATGGCCGGTGATTAAACGTACACACCAAGTTCCAAAACAATTCACATAAGACGAGGCCAGCTATATTCCCCCTGAATCATCAGGAGATAAATTAAGCTGACCTTGGCTTACCACATGGACACAGACAACTGTGTCTATCTTATTAGGTGCATACTCTTAAGGAAGTCTCTTGCATATTTTTTTAAATGTATTTGCCCTATCTAATAATAAAATAAATTATTCCAGTGGCTGGGGTGTTGGCTAGAATTTTATTGAGCTAAAACATGGTGGATGATCCCCTACAGAGGAAGTGTAATGACTCAATTCCTGCTCTTGCAATCAGCAGCATTTAAGCAAATATTTGAATAGCATCTTCCGTTTAAGAAAATAGGAGATATGATTTGGAATCACCAGGGTAAAGGAAGGGTTTTAATAACTGCACGCTTACCTGGTAAGCATGCGCATCTGGAAATTCAAGACCTCTACATCTTTAATAGGATTCCTCAGAATAAATGCCCCACTGCTTCGGTGCCCTGATGCAGCTGGATAAAAATCAAGCTACAGGGCATTCCCATGCAAGAGTCCCTCAACTACATTTTGATTGCATCACTGCGTTTAAATAAGGAGGCTACGATTCGGTTGCAAAGATAGCTAGTTTATCTTGTATCTTCGTTTTCCTCATTAGTGGATCAAGATCTTTAAAGAAATAGGAGACATATGCCAGAATGTTGAATCATGTGTAATGCAATGTTCCAAACTCCAATTTAGATTGGCGAGAGGCTTTTTGGGAATCTGAAGAGAAGTGAATTTTGATTTTGCATGCATGCCATTCCTCAAGCAGAAAGCAGACTGTGTTTCTTCTGAACAGTACGGAGAGGACATAGCCACAGAAGCGGAATGAAAATCTGGGCAATGTGCAAATTGTATAGGCAGCTATGGGCCAATGATGTACAAATGTGAAGAAAATTGGATAGCAAAATCTGCCCAGTGCACACAAGATCCCGCTTGGGTTACACTTGTTCCGTCATGATCTAGTCTATATGTTGTTATTCAACCTCTAGAGTACGCTGGGGCACACAGCCCTCCAGCTCCACAGCCTCTGGCCAACCCTCGTACTTGTTGCTGCTTTTGCTGTTCTTTATTAACTGGTGGGAAGGAAAGCAATACATTAAAACCACCGTCGGCGATTTAGTTACATTTTATGCATAAAGCCGTAGACAATTGTTCGCACCCTACACACAGAGTTGGTATAGGTTTAGATGTCCATTACAAGAACAATTTGAGGGGAAATTTGTGGGTTTTATGGGGAGCAAATCAGGATACCTATATTTATATTTCCTTGGTTTAGGAATAAATGATAAAAAAAAAAAGGCATTTTCCTGTCATTTTTCTAAGCACAGTTATATAATTTATGTAATGTAGTGAAATGGTAAAGCTTAAAGTGAACATATGCATTTACTTGAGGAAAGTTTTTCTTCCCCTTTTGACGCTACATTGCGCTACGCAGCGGAAAATAAATCAGTTTGGGTAAATTGTTAGAACACCATTTGGATAAGATTAAAGTGACACTAAACTCAGAAATGAATGGGATAATTTGCTAACCAGTTTAGCAATTCACTTCAGCTGTGTATGGCTATTTTCAGCCGTACATCAGCTGACTTCGGCTCCTTTCAGTTTCCTTTGGTTCAGCCGAACAGCCTCAGCAAGTTCGGCTGAACCGAAAGGAAAAACCTGTTAGTCTCAGCCGATCCAACATCGGCCAAGGGGAATATTCGGCAGTTCAGTCCCTGCTGTTCGCCCCTTTTCTCATCCCAGACCATTTAGGGAACTGTCATGAGAACAAATGAGCGGAGTGAGTGGTGACGTCACCACTGGCTCCACCCATTGTTTACATTTGGGCCAAGACCTGTCAAATTGTTCATTCTGCGACAGCTGTTTGTCGAGAGCGCTCAGGTCCAACAGCCTTTTTTTTTTATTTTGACAAGTTGTTGTTGTCGTTCATTGAGACTGACCTTGGATTACATCTCTGGACAACATGATTGACGCTGGATTGCAACGTTGGAGAATTTTTAATTTTTTTTTAAAATATAGGAATTGCCCAAAAATTACAAGTCCCTCGAGTAGTGTCTTTTACCTTTTTATTTGACCCTTTAGTGAATGAGTAGGGGTACAACTATCCCTTACTCATTCACAAGGGTGGGGGCAGCATCTGGGTGCCTCCTTTATGAAATGGGGTTCCCAAATGCAGATGACCCCCCCTGCACGCAGACCCCCACAGCCACTGGGCCAGGGTTGTGTGGGAAAAGGCCATTATCCCAATCGGCATGGGGACAAGGTGCTATTTCAGGGGGTCTGGTATGGCACAGGGAAGGGGGGGGGGGACGCTAGTTTGTGCC